GAAGTTCAACCTCACTAGCTGCTCAAAGGAGACGGGCGGTAAGCTGCTTCTGTGAAGATGAACAGCCTTAGAAACGGAAACCCAATGGAGCAGGTCTAGTTTGTCCGACCGTTTCTGTGTCAGAGGCAAGCAGATGACGATGGGTTCAGTGGGTCTAGATTGTTTTCACAAATCCTTCTCATGGAACATCTGCGGTGAAGGAAGCAGACTCCTTCCTGGGAAAGGTCATAGCTGACAGACAGTGATGACTGTGCTAGACGAACATGAGAGGAGTGAAAGAGAAAGAAACTAAGAAGACAGGAGCGGAAAGAAGGCGAAGGTAGCTACCACTTATTGAGCCCTCGCTGCCTCAGCCCAAGGTGATGTCCAGGCATACTGTACGACGTGTTGGGGTTGTGACCCTGGAGCCACACAGTCTATGTGAGCAGGGTAAATGCAGAAGCACCATAGTAGAGTCCAAACCTCTAACTTTTACGTTTCTTCCCTTCTGCTGTGGGAAAGAGGTAGAGGAAGAGACAGCAGGCTCCTACTTAATAAAAACATAAATTCTTAATAGCATATATGAACAACCATAACAGCAAAAACTCCTTGTAATGTGGTTTCCAATTCCCGGTGACCCCCATGTGTTACAGAGTAGAACTGCTCCAAGGATTTGGGGGGGGGGGCTATAATCTCAATAGAAGCCTATTTCCAGGATTTTCTTACATAATGCAGCTGAGTGGGTTCAAATGACCAACCTCTAACTTAGTCGTTGAGAGCAAACCAATTGTCACACTCCAAGATTTCCATACTAGGACAAGGACATCAGAATCACCAACCTGTCTGCTGGCTTTGAAATCCCTGTCGCTGTAGACCTGGAGGTCTAAGAATTAGTGCATTCTCTCTGTGTGCGTGAGCAGGGATTTGAACCTAGGCCTGTATCAGAACCTGTGCCAAATTCCACTGCCTTTCTTGGCAGCTCTGTACTCTTACCTTCGACTCATTTCCTCTTGTCCATCCTGCCGTATTGCACTGCGCCCAGGGGACGCAGCTGTTTCGAAGCAGAAATGTTAAGTGACTACAAAGAAGACATGGTTATTTCCCTTTGTTAGTCTCAAAAAACTCACTGCCATCAGGTTGATTTCTGCTCATAGCAACCCTATAGGGCAGGGTAGAACTTCCTCTGTGGGTTTCTGAGACTGTAACGCTTCACAGTAGTAGAAAGCCTCGCTTTCTCCTGATTCTCAAAAAGGGGGATTTATATATGAAGGGGCTTTACAAAGTTCATGGGGGAAATTCCATTATGTTTTAATTCAATTTTCCACAAAGTTTTTGAAGGCCTCTCAGCTATTTAAGGCTAGAGGTTGACCAGATATATATTTTTAAGATTATAAAAATATACACACACGGTGGTAGCAGTATGAAAGTAAGCTCAGGAAACAGAGTTGGGCCGTTCCTGCCTTGCTCCCACATCAACCTACACAGCATTGCTCTGAAATGAAAACCTGGCCTAAAGGTTGCCTTGTGGAACTTTCCCCCACTCCCCTTCTCTGAGAGAGGATGTCCGGCAGCCTTCGTTTCACAGGTGTGCTTCCCATGAGAGGATATGCTAATTGTCTGGTGGGAATATATAAATATATATAAAGTTCAGACCCTGGAGTAGGGTCTGAATCTGGCTTCTGTCATTTTCAAGCTGGTGAGCCTGGCTACATCGTCTCACTCTTCACTGCCTCCATGTAGGAGCCCTGGGGATGCTGTGCTTCACTGTTAACCAACCCCACAGCTGCGCCATGGGAGAAAGATGTAGGCGGTCTGTGTAAAGATTATATCCTGGGAACCCCTAAGAAAGAGTCCTACTCTGTCCACAGTGTCACTACAGGTCAGAATCCATGGTTTTGCTTTTGCCTCCAAGCAGCGCATGCCTCCAGCACGCACCACAGCACCCCGAAGTCTGGCGATGTTCTGCCGGATCTGAAGTCCTCGCTTGGAGGCCTTACTTTGCCATTTGTGCATTCTGGGAATGGAGGGAAGCCCTTGTGGGGCACTTTCCTCAAGCTCCCCATGTTCTACTGGGCATGCTCTGGGCACCAGGACTCCAGGTCAGCCGAGATTCCAAGTTAGTCCGTGGGTCACTTAGAAAACTGGAAGGAATGTTCCACCAAAGGGAACCCAGTGCTCTGGATTCGCTTTCAATAAATACATTGTCCAAAGGTTGTTGGTATGCTAAGGGATCACAGGAGCATCTTAATTCCACAATTACATATGGGAGCGCGCGCGCGCGCGCACACACACACACACACACACACACACACACACACACACACACACACTCATTCACTCAAAGCTGCTAAGGAGACTTGAGATTTCAAGTCAATGCCCCCTTCGAAGCAAGGGAAATTCCTTGGAATTTTTAAGCAATCAGAATTGTACATCCTGGAAAACCAGAGCTTTCTCAGTCTTGCGTTTGTGAGTCTTCCGCACACTAGACCACGTTATGTTCTTCTCTAACCCGGTGTCCCATCTCACAGATAAGAATCTACCAGAGAAGTTAAATCACTGATTTCAAGTCTGCCTCCGAGAAAGCAGAGCCTCTGGCGTTGTTGAGGGCTGTCTGGCTCCTCTTGGTAGCCACCTCCTCATTCTACTTCCAGAGTCCTTCTCTGCCGCCTGCTTTCCTCATTTCTACTTGTAGCAACTTGGGCCCCTGTAATTATCATTCCTAAGGAGCTACAGATCCAGCCTGAAGGGGCGGAAAATACTAAAGTAAGTAAAAGACCACTGCAGTGTTTGTTAAGACCGTGGGCAGGTGTCATGAGCGGCGCTATCAATAATTACTTAACGCTCTTAGACATTTTCGAATTCTCAGTTTATTCACTGCAAACACACATCAAACAATTTAAAATATTATTCAAACTATTAAGGGCAAACAACTATAAGCATAAGGGCAGAGTAACAACTATGAGCATAAAGGCATAATAATAACACTTCTCACACATTTCATATTAGCACCATAGTCCCAATCAGCATTGCCTCATCGGTGTACTCACCCCAGGTAGAGCTGGAGAGAGCAGGAGATGATGTCTCCTTGGTTCCTAGCTCTCTGAAGGTCAGTGTCTCTACCTGGGTTTAAATGGACATTTTGGCCAGTTCTTTGACGTTCTCACTGTCCCAGTCACGTCTTATCGGGTTTCTCCAGGCTTTAGGTGGCTTGGCTAATTTTTGGGCTTCGGCCAGGTCTCAGCCCGGTCTTATCAGGTTTCTCCAGGCTTTACGGGACTCGGCTAGCTTTTGGGCGTCGGTCAGGTCTCAGCTCAGTCTGATCAGGGGTCTCACATTTTTGTGGTGGCTTCTTTGATTTAAGTGTTGGCCTGGGTCCCAATATTACATTATATATGTATATATATATATATATATATATTTTTTTTTTTTTAGTGGAGTTTCTTGTGCTTGTTTATTTGATGTGGCTCCACATTTTGCAAAGTAGTTCAATGTCTTGTAAGGTAGGTAGTTCACCATCTTGCAAGGAAGTTTTATGGTGCTCTCATCAGCAGGGCATTAGTTTGCCCCTGGGCTTTGTAGTAGACTTTTGACCAAAACAAGTTTGAGGAGGCGACTTGAATTTGCTTATCTCACTCAAAAGACTGGAGGCCATTTCTACAAGCATACCTCGGATATATTGAGAGTCTGGTTGAAGCAGATCTCACAAGAAAGTGAGCCGCACAATCTTTTTGGGTTTCAGTGCATCCCAGTTAGGTTTACATCATATTGCAGTTGATTATGAGTGTAATATCATTACGCGAGAGTTAATATCGTGAGAATTAGCGCAAGGTGACTCAGAGACAGGAAGTGAGCGCATGCTCTTAGCAAATGACGCCAATAGACTTGCTCCACAGGATTGCCTCAAAGGTGCAATTTCTAAAAATATGGTACCTGTGAAGTGCAATAAAACAAGGTGTGCATGCCTTAGGCTACCTGGTTTGGGATTTTTTTTTTTTTTAACCGATTGACTGCAGACCTAAAGGAAATCTATTTACTGACTGGTTGTTGGGGTTTTTTTGCCGACTGGTCGTATCTTTTTAAAATTACGAGAGAAAGCACATGTGTACCTGGATTGCACTGGCAGGACTGCTGACCTCACAGTTGTTTTTTGCTTTTTTTTAACCTGACTCTCACGATCTTTCTCTTGCTTACTAGATACTAGTGGCTGAGGAGTCGACTCTGATTCGTGGAGGGTATGTCAGAGTAGAACTGTGCTCCTTCCAATGGCTGCTTTCTCAGAGGCAGATTGCCAGGCCTTTTATGCCAAGGCATCGGTGGGAGGACTCGAACCGCTAGCCTTTTGGTTACCATCAACAGCATTAACAGTTCGCAGCAGCCAGAGACGCCTTTACTGTTGGTTGTGTCATGGAAACCAAAAGAGAAATAAGACATGTCCCTCCCCACTCCCTAAGAAGTTGGAAAGAGGAGAACCCAACAGAGGTCCAAGAGGAGACAGATTTCCCTAACCATCAGCCGTGTCTGGAGGCGTGGGCTTCCCTCCAGACCCTTCATTCTCCCATCTGCCCTTCGTGTGCACAAACCCTCTGGGGCCTGTCTTTTCTCCTCCTCTCCCTCTGTCTTTTAGATCTTTCCCCTTCTTTTCCATAACTCCTCAGATCACCACAGCAATGCCAGTGATTGTCCCTCACTTTCTTTCTCTTCCCTTCCCTTGGTTTACCTCTTCCCTTCTCTTCTGTTTCTTGCTTTCTCCAAAGCCTGGCCTTGCTCCCCAAGGAAGCAAAGATAAACACTGGAGAAACAGGAGGGATAAAAATGGCTGCAGGAAAGCTCTTATTCCAAAACCTTTTCTTTTTCATTGCAGGTCTTGAAAGAAAAGATGACTCCAACCTCCTCCCTCCTACCTACCCACCCCCAACCCCCAACATCTCAAAAACCCACGTGGAAAATGAAGATCACCTATTTCCAGTCGGTGTTCTGCATGTAAACTAGACCTCTCTGCTTTTTGCAGGGTTTCGTACTGCTTCTCGGGAAGCAGAGGCATGGTGAGACCATCTGGGGAAAATCAAACAGCCATAGTGGAATTTGTGCTTCAAGGATTCTCTTCCATCTGGCAGCTAAATATTTGCCTCTTCATAATGTTTTTAGTTTTTTACACCTTAACCGTCTCTGGAAACATCCTCATTATCTTGCTAGTTTTATTCAACCATCACCTCCACACCCCCATGTACTTTTTCCTGGTGAATCTGGCCTTTCTGGAGATCTGGTATACCACTAATATTGTCCCCAGGATGTTGCTGCTCATTATAGCAGGACAGAAGACGATCTCTGTGGCTGGCTGCCTCACACAGTTTTACTTCTTTGGATCTTTGGCTGCAACAGAGTGTCTCTTGCTGGCTGTAATGTCCTATGATCGCTACGTGGCCATCTGCCAACCTCTCCACTACCCTAGCCTCATGACTGGGCCCCTCTGCATCAAGCTGGCTGCCAGCTCGTGGCTCTGCTGTTTCCTCCTCACAGCAATCACCATGGTCCTACTATCTAGACTCAGCTTCTGTGGACCCAATGAAATTGATCATTTCTTCTGTGACTTCACCCCTCTGGTCCATCTTTCTTGCATGGATACCTCACTGACTGAGACAATTGCCTTTGCCACCTCTTCTGCCGTGACTCTGGTCCCATTTTTCCTCATCACTGCCTCTTACTCTTGCATCCTCATTGCTATTCTAAGAATCCCATCTGGCACGGGCCGGCGAAAGGCCTTCTCCACCTGCTCGTCCCACCTTACGGTGGTCACTGTGTTCTATGGGACACTGATTGCCACGTACCTGGTGCCCTCAGCCAATTCTTCACAACTGGTACGCAAAGGGTTCTCTCTCCTCTACACCATCCTGACGCCCATGTTCAACCCAATCATTTATGGCCTGAGAAACAGAGAGATCCATGAAGCTCTGAAGAGGTGCTTGAGCACGAAATCGGGTTTTCTCAAATGATGCAAAGCGCAGAAGAGCTGTGCTTTCTCAAGTGTTGATGAGCTGGACTGTCATTTAAAGTTTACATATAAGGGATTACCTTAAATAAGGTCTTACCTAAGTCAATTGACATAGATGCCTCTGAGGCAAGGCAGGGGGGTGAAGTCGGAGACTTGGACTGAGCATGTGTAGAGTCTGTGAACTAACTTAGGGTGTCATTTCCTAGAACCCCTTGCTGCCCTTGGTGGAAGTTCCCCCGCTGGAGGAAAATTCCTGAGAATCTCTTACTCAAAAATAGTTAAAAGCATGTGTATGCAGATGGGCAGTAAGAAAGACCGAGCCTGGCCATGCTTCCTGGGAAGGTTTTCCTTCTTCTTTAGAGTTTCTTAATAAAATGATCTCGTGATGCCCTGTGTCTTCCGAAAATAAATCTTTCTTTTGATGAGATAAGAACCTGAGTTCTGGTAACATGTCTGAGTATAGCTATAGACACTGCTGAGTTCTGAGAGCCTCAAGTCAACTGGTGTCGTGGGTCATGATCTAAGCGGATTACACTCTGTCCCACTGTCTCTAGTAAACCTGGAATGCGGTGTAAAAGGCCACCTCCAAAATGAACGGGTAAGCCTGCTCCCTTGATCGTTCACATATGAGTCTTCATTGAGGACATTCATTCAAAGCATGAGGCTGAGTCAAGTGACACAATGATAGATGAAAACAGATAAAGTTCCCGATCTCGCTAGACTTAATCGTTAGAGGATGAAAATAATTAATCAAATAACTAATATAAAATCACATACATTCATATAAAATTTCACTTGTAACTCAAATTAAATTAATAATGTATTCATTGTACGTCATCAGTGAGGAGCTTCAGCCTCCTTGTTTGGAACAAATTTGGGGAAAATGAAGATTTCAAGAACTGAGGCTAGACACAGGATCGGTAACAGTATTTCCAGCACTCTGTTTGCCCAATTCCTTAGTGGCAGTTCAGTTGGAAGCTTGGGGCTTCTTAGTTATTGGGTTCATCCTCCTGCCAGGCCCTCTTCCAATGGTCCTGTTCTAACTTGCTCCGCTTCCTGCTGGCACATGCTTTTAGTAGTTAGAACACAGGGTGTGGGGGGCATGTGCGGTCTCTTTGCTCTGTGCATTTCTGAACCACTGAACCGACTTGGGTGAAGAAGCTGAGGTCAGCAGGACACACTCGCATGCTCTCGCTCTTTATCTGACTGCTAACATTCATGTATACACATCTCTCTGCCGTGCCAAGGACGGGATTATCTCTAGTCTCAACTGATCTTGAAGCTTTGCTCTCTTTCAAGATCAGCAAACTCGTGGCATTCACCATGCATGTCCGTAACTGACAACCCTGACTGGGGATAGAACATAGGGCTGCACAGCTTGTCTGAAGACACTCACTCTTAGGCCTTGGTTTATAACAAATGATGATGTGTCCACTTCTTGATCTTCTTATAAACGAATACAACATGTGAAATCATCTTAAGGCATTCATGGTGGAGGTAGAAGGCGTCAGCCTGCAATGATCTATGGGGGCTCATCTCCCACAAGTGTTAATAGCACAGTCGCTTTGGGGGAAACTGGAGACCGATCACTTTTCATGTCGCCGGCAAGACTGAATTCAGGTTTTGCCTCTCTCCACAGGTGGTTTGGGGTTAGTTATTTTCAGCCTTTCTGAAATAGAGACGAGGAAGGAAGCATTATACCTATCTCATTCTATGGTTAAGTGAGAAAATATTCTGTGCACTGTCTGACCTATAGGAAAAGCTCAGTATGGGGGAAGTTCTTGTAATTCTTTGTCTAGGTTCCACTTACCACACCAAATCCCAGCCAAGACTATTATTATCTAGTAAAGATACAGTTTTAATATTATCGAATGATAGGAACCCTTAATTTTTTATGGTCCATCTTAATAAACAAATGGATGACCCTTGAGGGTAGTAGATGGGTCTTCCCTGGATAATTATAGAACAAAGACTATTCTTAGTCCAGGCCTCTATCCCTAATACACACCACCTATACCAATTTATTGTATTCTTTCCTTGATCACTGACATGTAAGGAACTCTC